CGTGCCAGAAGCAAGTGGAAACTCGATCGATGAATAACATAGAGTCTTACCAACAATCAATACGAAACTAACGATTTTAAATTGGCTCACTTCTTGACTAGCCTATTGGTCCCAAACAAACGATTAACGTACCCCATTCTAGTCAAAATTATAGTACTACGCAATGTTTGTTTTGATTCGCTATGAAAGTTTGACAGATAAAATGAGGGGTTATTGGTTTTTCCTATGTTTCGAGGGGTGAATCGATTAGCTTGGGACCGAAGAGAGTACCAGAGCTGAGCCAAAAAGTTGAGCACGTTATTTTGGGACCTTCTAGTCTTAGAGTTACCTCTATGGAGGAATTCTGTTGCTCTCTGATGAACGATTTTATTATCTCGATTGTTTTGACAGCGCAGCCCAAGCAATCAATGTTTTCGGTGTAAGGGAACGTTAGTTCTTCAGCCGGTGATCTATGCCGTAAAATACACTCAATTCATCGGAGAACCTGCTAGCAAAACAAACATCACGTAATAACGTTGCTGTTTTGATACAAAATAAATGGGGCTAGGGAGGCATCTGTGGGGGTTTGGCGGAATAGTTTGTACGTTTGTATTTTCCTGTTCTAGCAACCAAGACCCTCACAGGATTCATCCTCAAGTACATTTCCCCACCGGAGCTGGTAGCCGGAAGGGAATATCCATTCTGTTGCTCTAAGCATCTGGATGCCCAGTACTACGGTAGCAAGATCCTGGTCGATTTCATTACCATTGCAAAGAGGAAAGTGCCCTGCAGAAAGCCATCATCAGTGTGATTTAAGAAAATAGCCAAAACTTCAATGAACTGGTAGAAAACGAGATCATTTCCTTATTTAAATATTGCATCCATTCATTTTCTTCATTCATTGTTTTCGTTTCGTTATCGAACTGACATTTGCATAAGCTCTACTACACAGCAAAAAAAAATGTAATATCGATCAACGTAATTCAAGCTGATGTATGAAATAATGATGTAATAGCAAAAAGCAGATAGAATATTACATCAATGGATGTAATTTTGTTCGCAAAATCGATGTACATCGTACAATGTGATATTACTCAACCGATGGATTGACCTGGTTGCAGCAGTTTCGATGTAATATTCAACAACTTTTTTTGCTGTGTACATAAGCCCTACTAATTATTTTTCGTCACAAATTAGATCAGATCCCAGAGCAAACCAGAGTAGCACCATAGAGGTAACTCTAAGACCACTGGGTCCCGAAGAAAATCATTATTATTTTTGGCTCACTCAGTACCAGAACAACGGTCCCAAGCAGTCCCAAGCTATTTCACTCACCCCTGCATGTTCTGCATGAATCCACACACCCCTGATGTTATCTGTCAAACTTTCATAGCGAATCAAAACAAACATAGTGTAGTAATAGAATTTCGACTAGAATAGGGTACGTTAATCGTTTGCTTGGGACCAATAGGCTACTAAAGTGGTGAGCCAATTTAAAATCGTTAGTTTCGTATTGATTGTTGGTAGCACTGAGCAACTCTGAGTAAAAGAGGTACACTCAAAATATATTGAAATCTAAATAGTATAAAAGTTACGCTAAATCGCAACTCTCCGTACACTCAAAAATATTACAAAACGAATATAGATTAAATTTTATGCATTTTATGGTTTTTCAAAATGTATACATTGGTTCGATTAAAATTTTCGTCAAAATTATACTAAGTCCAAATAACGGAGTGGAATTCTATCAGTGTTTACTAAAATGATAGGAAAAGAACATCTGGATTCTCTTCGAAGCTTCGTGCTGGTGAAGAGCTTCGTCCCGGCAGAGTTTTACCACAAACGAAGTGACAGACGACTTACTGGCGAAGAAATCCATTAAAATAATGTGGTTCACTGTAATAGAATTTTCTTGGAAGCTTGTGCCATCATCCACCAGATGGGTTAGTTTTTTTTGTTTTGATTTGAACAAAGTGGATTTTGTGTACAATGATTCTTTGACAGTGTGCAAAGAGTGCGTATCATTTTGTCATTTTTTTATGCATTTCAGTTTTGAGTAGAGTGAAAGAGATAGAACCAAAACATTCTGACACATTTGGTGAAAATGCTAGTACAATCCAGTAGTAGTGTTGCCATGTGGTACAATCCAGTAGTAGTGGTGTTGCCATGTGGTACACTGAAAAATTGAAATAGCAGGTTAGTCACCAAAGTTTTCGAGCCGCTCCGTCTGTCACTTCGTTTGTGGTTTTACCATAGAGGTAACTCTAAGACCACTAGGTCCCGAAGAAAATCATTATTATTTTTGGCTCACTCAGTACCAGAACAACGGTCCCAAGCAGTCCCAAGCTATTTCACTCACCCCTGCATGTTCTGCATGAATCCACACACCCCTGATGTTATCTGTCAAACTTTCATAGCGAATCAAAACAAACATAGTGTAGTAATAGAATTTCAACTAGAATAGGGTACGTTAATCGTTTGCTTGGGACCAATAGGCTACTAAAGTGGTGAGCCAATTTAAAATCGTTAGTTTCGTATTGATTGTTGGTTTTACTGCGCCTGTGATCTGTTGGGCAGCTAGGAAATTGTAAGTATTTTTTAATAAAATAAATAAAATAATTAAAAATCCTGAGACAATTTTTATTTTTATTTGAAAACAATAATATTTACCATAAATAAAATAAAGAAGCGAAAAATACATTCTCTCGAATAAACCGTATCTATGCATTGTAAGTATATTTCGATTTTATACTATGGCACGCATAAACCATTTTTATACTAAGGCTCTGAACCATTTGGTGGATTATTTTAACTTTTGGTTAAAATTTGACAGATGAAAAGTTATCGATTAACCCTGCTATCCGAGCGTGGTTACTTCTGACAGACAAGAAGTTAAATTTTGACGACCGTGGCTCGAAAACTGGTCGATCGACAGCACGGGGATTTTTGAACATAAGAAATAACTTTCGAAATGTCACTTTTAACCACGAGTTAAATTTAACTCGGCAAATGGTTCACAGCCTAAGTTTGCATTCTCTCCCTTTATACCGAACTTTGCGTCGGTACGGAGAGTTGCGATTTAGCGTAGCTTTTATACTATTTAGATTTCAATATTTTTTGAGTGTCCCGAAGAAAACGTCGGTATAAATGGAGAGAATGCAAACTTAGTATAAAAATGGTTTATGCGTCTCAAAGTATAAAATCGAAATATACTTACAATGCATAGATACGGTTTATTCGAGAGAATGTCTTTTTCGCTTCTTTATTGTGCGTGGCAGGATAATTTCTCAAAAAGGGATTATACCATCTGGTTTCTGTTTATGGCCGTACGACTGCGCCCATTGATTTAACACACGGCGGCTTTTTATCCAGGATTCGCTTCTCAAGCCGCTGCCATAAAATACTATCAAAGTTACACACCTGTGTATACTCATAAAATAAATCACATAACCAGTGGAAAATATCCATGTGAATTTCCCATTATTGGAAATTGCACCACTAAATCACATGAACTTTATGTGTTCAATGAAATCTATATGATTTCTCATATAGAATTTCAGATATTCAGAAAAAAATAAATTATTTTTGTAATTGGAAAAATATTATGTGCGTTCCTAATAGAAACTAAGTGAAAACTTTTTTCAGTGTATAATCCTTATGGGCGGGGTTGCATCGCGCTTATGAGCGGCGCGCTTTGACCGTAACCAAATGAGAATTTAACATAAGCGCGACAATATTTTATTTATGGTAAATATTATTGTTTTCAAATAAAAATAAAAATTGTCTCAGGAAGGTTTTTTAATTATTTTATTTTTTATGAATATTATTTAAAAAATACTTACGATTTCGATGTTCATTAAGATGATTCGCTAGACACAGCTAGACTCGTGTTTACGCAGTCTAGCTGCCCAGCAGATCACAGGCCCAATTGAAATCAGCCGGAACAAAGCTCTTCACCAGCACGAAGCTGCGAAGAGAATCCAAGTGTTATTTTTCCTGTCATTTTAGTAAAATCGAATGATCGAATTCCACTCCGTTATTCTGACTTAGTATAATTTTGACGAAAATTTTAATCTAACCAATGTATAAATTTTGAAAAACCATAAAATGCATAAAATTTAATCTATATTCGTTTTGTAATATTTTTGAGTGTACTCAAATGAAAGCCGTCTTCCCCCTCGGTTTCTCCGGTTTCACTGAACTGGAACACCGGACACTTACCCCGATGGGGCCCCGGATCCTGGACCAAGACGCCACCACTTCAGACCACCCATAATCGACCCCAAAAAATGATGGAATTTAGATGCCCTGTCTGCAGATCTTTTTCCCAATTATTTACAATTTTTTTTTACATAGACATTATATTAATTCAAATTCAAAATAATTTCAATATATTTAAGTTTGTTTTATAAATGAAAAGCATGTTTAAAATAAAAATATTTATTTTTGTTCTCATAGTTGTCAAATCAAACACAAATATTCACGATAATTTTATACACAAATATTTTTAAAATAAACATATCATTGTTTGTATTTTAAACATTGATATCACATGGCTTCTAATGTGGAATACGTTTGAAGTCAACCTCGTTTATTTCTGTGGCCAGAACAAAATGAGTTTACGTTTAACTTTACCTCATACATTTTTGTTTCGACAATGGATTTTTCTGCGTGACATCCGGAAAAAAAATACACCCCATTTGAATCCGAAATGACTCCGAAACCAAGTGGCCACTTCCAGTTTTTCTGAAACATAACGAAATTTAAACAGTTTTTGGTTCATATTTGACATCCAGCTCCATAATCGGCATTTTGGCTTTTTTCGAAATAACAAAATCTGGCGGTAGTAATTTAGCACCGATCTCACCCCACTCTCCCTCCCAAAGGTCAAAATCGCAGATCGCCATCTACTGTCGAACATTCGAAAACATTCACTTGTACTCAACCTTGCATACATTTTAATGAACTTGCGTACAAGTTGTTCTAATTTGACAATCAGCTGATTCCAGTTGGACCTTCCTTCGTTCATCGTCGTCAGTTTCTTCTCTCCGCTCAGCTGTTGACGGGGTTTTCGATTCGTAGATTAAGCAAAAAGTCAGTAGTTTATGGTGTAAATAGTATCCAACAATGTTAAAATTACTGCTATCGGGCTACCGATCGTGTCAACCGATTTACAGGTAAAAATTCGCATTTATTAATCACCTTTTTGTACGTTTGTTTCGCAAACTTTCGTTTCGGTCGGAAAAACCTATTGCATAACCTCAAACTCGATTGGCAATCAACAGTAAGAAAAAAAGAAAACATTCAAGGTCACGTTTGTTTACAGTCAACCGCAGCAGAGTCATTTATTGAGGCAGTCTCTGCACACGTATGTTTTCCGCCGAAATGAGCTGCTGGATGCGGGTAAGAGTCTGCTTAGGAATCGAATACGCCATCAGGGCCGAAGGAAGCTGACGACGCAAAGTCAACAGCAGGTCGTGCGAACCGGAGAGAGAAGTTCACAGGTGCTAAGGTTGCTGCTGGGCGGCAGTGCCATTAGTGTAACCGTCGGATATCACTGCCGGAGATGGTTCGTTCATTGTGAAGCTCCGGCCAACCGGTTGGTAGGGCACAAGACCGAATCGGGAACCGCGGGAGTGAAGTTCGATTGGCGAAAGTTTTGGAGCTACTTGAGGCCGCACTTGGTGAAGCTGCTCGGGGCGATCGTTGCTGCACTGGCGGTGGCTTATTTCAACATTCAAATTCCCAACATGCTGGGGGTGGTCGTGAACACGTTGTCTAAATACGCCAGGAGTAATTTGAAAGAGTAAGAGTGTAGCATGTTTCGATTGTTTCGGTTTTAAGCATTTGGATTCTTTCAGCCTCGACTCGTCGACATTTATTGACGAAATGAAACTGCCTTCGTTGCGACTCTTTGGGATGTACATCGCCCAAGCTGGCTTCACGTTCGTGTACATCCTGTTGCTGAGCCAGATCGGTGAGCAGATGGCAGCGAAAATCCGACAGGATCTGTTCAAACAGATCATCATTCAAGACTTGGAATTCTTCGACGAGAATCGAACCGGCGAGTTGGTCAATCGGTTGACAGCCGACGTGCAGGATTTCAAATCCAGCTTCAAGCAATGCATCTCTCAGGGTCTACGTTCGTTTGCCCAGCTGATAGGTGGAGGTGTTTCGCTGTTTATGATTTCGCCGCAGCTGGCCAGTATCGCTTTGGTGTCGGTTCCGGTAGCGGTAGGAATGTTCTCCTTTCTGGGGAAATCACTACGGGCGTTGAGCAAAAAGAGTCAAGCCCAGTCGGAACGGGCCACGGCGGTTAGTGAGGAAGCGCTGTCCAACATTCGGACGGTCCGAGCCAGTGCGAGTGAATTTGCCGAAGTGGAACTGTTCCGGCAGGAGACGGACAAGGCGGCGGAGCTTTCCCAACAGCTGGGTGTTGGAATTGCCGTGTTCCAGTCGTTAACGAATCTGTTCCTCAACGGAATGGTGCTGACTACGTTGGTTTTGGGTGGACATTTTATGTCCACCAGTTCCATCAGCGCTGGAGATTTGATGGCGTTCCTGGTTGCTTCGCAGGTTAGTTGGTGTTTTTTAGGGGAAAGTTAGACAGTTTTTAATACTTTCTCTTTTATTCCTTTTAGGGTGTCCAGCGCTCATTGGCACAGGGTTCCATCATGCTCGGTTCCGTAATCCGCGGAATGACGGCTGGCTCGCGTGTCTTCGAGTATCTCTCAGTTCAGCCCAAAGTTGATCTCAAACATGGCCAAATCATTCCCGAGTCGGACATCCGAGGCGAAATTCGGTTCGAAAATGTTTCCTTCACCTACCCCTCCCGACCGAACCAGCAGGTTCTGAAAGACTTTTCGCTGGTGCTGGAACCGGGACAAACTGTGGCCCTGGTGGGAGCCAGCGGTTCTGGAAAGTCGACCATTGCTTCTCTGTTGGAAAGGTTCTACGAACCGACCGGTGGTCGCATCACCATCGATGGCCATGATATCTCGAATCTATCCCCGTACTGGCTGCGTGGTGATGTAATAGGATTCATCGAACAGCAACCGATCCTGTTTGGAACGTCCATTTACGAAAACATTCGCTACGGCCGTCCGAACGCGACGCAAGCTGAAGTTCTAGAGGCGGCCAAGCTCTCTCAATCGCACCAGTTTGTCAGTCAACTGCCGGACGGATACGGGACTTCGGTTGGTGAACGGGGAATTCAGCTGAGCGGTGGTCAACGACAGAGGATAGCTATTGCGAGGGCCTTGCTCAAGCAGCCAACAGTTCTGATTCTGGATGAAGCGACCAGTGCGCTGGATGCGTCCAGTGAGGCTATCGTGCAAAAGGCACTGGATGCGGCGGTCCTCGACCGAACCACGCTGGTCATTGCCCATCGGCTGTCGACGATACGGAATGCCGATGTGATTGTGGTGCTGGAGAAGGGCCGGATAGTGGAGATGGGAAATCACGACACGTTGCTCAAGAAGAAAGGGCATTACTTTGAGCTGGTGAAACAGCAGGAGCGGGAACAGAGGGAGGAACAACAGCAGCTGCAGCAGCAGCACCCGAGGGCTTATGGATAAGGCAAGACGTTACGGATGTGATCAGTAATGTAAAAGAGGTGCAGGTATTAAAATGGTGCGGTAGAAAGTTACTCTTTACAAGGATTCAAAGAACCGAGGGAAAGAGTCAATAATAAAGAGAATGAATGAAACAATATTTTTGGACTTTTGTTTTTAATAGAATATTATTATTAAGCTTACAGTTATAAAATTTACATTAGGTGCTGTGCTTGTGTGCTAGAAAGTTTAAAAAAATAGTGTATTTTGATGTTGGCCGTGAATTTCTGATGCATAAAATTTCTGATCAAGACACCTTCCGTCGGTTGATGTGATGGATGGGTCGATAGGCAGCATCCAGGTGTAGGAGCTGCCCCCCTCGCATCGGTAGCATTGGTACTTAGTACGGAAAACAAATCAAGGAAAAATACAATAATTAAAGGAAATGGCCTATGGATCTAACGATTGGTCCCATCGATAAAAATTTCAGTTTTTCTTAGAACAATGCGTCATCTGGACAGAAAAATCGCCGCCAGTATTTCAACAAACTTTTGTAAACAATGATTTTAGCAGTCAATTTCTCTAAAATAAAAGCTTACATCAAGCTGAACATTTCATTAGATCCTAAGTAACAATGCTCGATTCTCTTCGTCGACTTTCTCCTTCGTTAATAACTTGAGTACGCACACAGCGTTTCTCCTCCTTTTATCGATCTGTGTGCTGAACATACCTGGGGAATGTCTGTACATGGTCGTGGGGATACAAAGAGAAAGCCGACGAAGAGAATCTGTCAATGTTGCTTAAGACCTAATGCAATGTTCAGCTTGACATATGCAAAGTATCGACACTATCAGATAAATATTTCTTCTACCAGCTGGCATTGGAATGAATCTCAACGCACGGAACTTCTACGCTGAACAGCTCACGCAAAGACTACGAGTTGTTTGGTAAATAGAAAAAAGATATCATCAGTTCAGTGAAAAGTGAGCACTCTTCGTCAGATTATTTGTAAACCGCAGCTTTAGTAGCATTCAGTGTTTTTAAGCTTCAATACTAATTTGTCTCTGAAAGGCCAATTGAATTGTTTTGCCGTCACCTTTAATCCTTTTAATATAATTTTATTTTATTTCATGATTGGTTATAGATAACAAAACAGTAATTGATATTTACTTCTCCTTCACGTCGCAGTGTTTGCAACCGGTTTATTTGTATTCAAACAAATTTTGGATTGTAGATGGCATTTCAAAAGCCCAGGTGAAATGAATTTCATTTTACACAAATCACAGGATGCTTCACGCAAATCACTGTGTATAGTTTGCGTGTGTTGCTTCAAATTATACTTTGAAAAGAACCCTTTGCCGCACAGCTCACATGGGAAGGGTTTTTCTCCGGTGTGAACTCGTTTGTGTACCTTTATTAAGTAGGCATTGGGGAACCCCTTTCCACAATATTCACAGATATGTATTTTCTTATGCATAAGAATGTGAGCCTTGTATTTTCTCCTTTTTACAAAGCGTTTCCCACATTGGTCACAAATAAACAGGGCAGGATTATTGGTCGGTTCTGAAGTCACTGGCGCGGGCGCTTGTGAAGTCACTGGCGCGGTCACTTGTGAAATCGCTAGTGGGGTCGCTTCCGAAGTCGCTAGCGGGGTCGCTTCCGAAGTCGCTAGTGGGGTCGCTTCCGAAGTCGCTAGCGGGGTCGCCTGTGAAGCCATTTGTGGGATCGCTTGCAAGGTAGCTTGCCGATGCGCTAGAAAGAGCTCTTGCTTGGAAGCTCTTCTGAATTTCCCACAACTTTGACACTGTAATGGTGAATTCTTGTTTATTCTTGTCACCTGTGTGGCCGCATCTTTTTTGATTGGTTGGACTTCACTCTTTTCTTTAGTTTCTATCGTGTCTTGTGAAGTCGCCTGCAAGGTCACTTGTTTGGAAGCGCTTTTTAATTCCCCAACCTCCCAATCCACCTTGTTTTCTTTGGATCCCCACATAGTGTTTTCAAGATGAGCTGTGATTTCACCATTCTCGGCGACTGGATCGATGGGAACAGTTCCATGTTCGACTTTAATTTCATTTGCTTGCATAAACATGTCCTGGAACACACGGTCATTGGTGAGACACATTTCCCGGAACGATTCAAACTCTTCCAACGTGGTTTTACATTCCAAGCACAATGAAAAAGGAGCGTTTTGAACATCGGTGATCTGAAACGAATGGCATTGAATGATTTTGTTATTGTCCGAAGTACAGGCATTTACTAACCGTCAACGATGTTAGGTTCCCGATCCACTCCTTTAGAGGACCAATGGATTGATATTGTTCTTGTTCAGTGAAACATAGGCGACAAATTGATTTAGCCGATTTTCCTGGCCTGATCACTATCATTGTAGCCATAATGAAGCGATGATTTGGAAAGATTATTCAATCGATTTTGGAGATGGAACAGATTCCTCAACAATTTAAACCACCCACTATAATATAAACACCGATCTTATTTTCGGGAAACTGTGCTGTATTCACTTTGAAATGTTACAATTTAAACGAATTTTGTGAACTTAAAGGAGATGCAATTTTCAACATCTAGAGTAGTACTAATTTGTTCAGTATCGACCTTTCTGACGTTTATAACACGCACACCTGCGTAATCCCATTTTCAAGTGAGAAGTTTTGTTATCCCCACTTTCTCTTCAGTCAAAGAAATCAGTGCCAACATTTCAAAGGGGCGTAATTGCTTTTGTAAACAATGACTTTAGCCATCAATTTCTCGCGAATGAAATCTTACCTCTTCAAAATAACAATGCTAGCTGGTAGAGGAAACATTCCTCTACCTAATGGTGTCATTATTTTTCATGAGTGAGCTTTTATTCGCGAGAAATCGATGGCTAAAGCCATTGTTTACAAATGCAATTACGCCCCTTTGAAATGTTGGCACTGAAATGTTGGTTTGTTATCCTCACTTTCGGACCTTTCAATACTCGTGCGCATAGAATGGACTATTTACGGTGTTTACACCGTTTACACATTGACGTTTGTGTCCGTCAACTTATTTCGAGACTACAAGCTGAACATTGCATTAGGTCCTAAGTAATATTGACAGATTCTCTTCGTACACTCAAAAATATTACAAAACGAATATAGATTAAATTTTATGCATTTTATGGTTTTTCAAAATTTATACATTGGTTCGATTAAAATTTTCGTCAAAATTATACTAAGTCCGAATAACGGAGTGGAATTCGATCAGTGTTTACTAAAATGACAGGAATAAGAACATCTGAAGGGAATCCCCTTCGGAGCTTCGTGCTGGTGAAGGGCTTTGTCCCAGCGGATTTCTACTGCGCCTGTGATCTACTGGGCAGCATCGAAATTGTTAGTATTTTTTTTAATATTATTAATAAAAAATAAACTAATGAAAAAAGCTTCCTGAGACAATTTTTATTTTTATTTGAAAACAATAATATTTACCATAAATAAAATAAAGAAGCGAAAAATACATTCTCTTGAATAAACCGTATCTATGCATTGTGAGTATATTTCGATTTTATACTATGGCACACATAAACCATTTTTATACTAAGTTTGCATTCCCTCCCTTTATACCGACCTTTGCGTCGGTACGGAGAGTTGCTATTTAGCGTAACTTTTATACTATTTAGATTTCAATATTTTTTGAGTGTAGACTTTCTCTAAAGCCCTATACAGTAAAAGTATGGACGCCTGTCAAAAGTTGTTCCAATCGAACCGTCAAAATGCACCGCTTTGCTTTGCTCGATTGGAACAGCTTTTTTCAGTTTTGTGGTGACAGTCGTCCATACTTTTACTGTAGGGCTTTAACTTTCTCTTTGTATCCTCACAGTCATGTAAGGACATTCCCAAGAATTTTCAGCACACAGATCGAAAAAAGAAGCTTTTATCTAGCATCTAATACGACCAACATAACAAGAAACGGTTAGGTGCTCAAGTTATTAACGAAAGAGAAAGTCGACGAAGAGAATCGATCGATGTTACTTAGGCCCTAATGCAATGTTCAGCTTGTAAAGACAATTTAAGATTTATCACGGAAAGACGAAACAACTCAAAATCGAGATAAAAACTACTTAAAATAAGTAGTCCGCCAACACTACTGTTTTGAGTGAAATTTTGTTCTCATTTATGAGTACTTTAAACTTAATATCGTAGTATAACCCGATCACTTACTTTTCGTTAATTGTACTCAAACAGTAATTTTGATGAGAGAGTTCTTTATTTGCGGACTTTTTATCTAGATATTGAGTTGATTAGTTTTCCACGCTTCGAAAGTATCCAAAATCAAGTGTTGCGTTTGCACTTCATTTTGGATGAAAAATCGTAATGTGTCAATGTGTGCCATGTTAATTTCAGCTTTGTCGTTTACCAAAAGCTGCAGCTATTTAAGTAAAAACATGTTAAATTAGTCTATATTCACAGTCCCAAACTGTACGGTATTAAGTAATAGGTACACTAATGAAGGTCATAAACTAAACTCTAGTTCTATTCTAGATCTCCATACAGACCAAAAATGTCTAGAACCTGTGGGGAGTGTCATTCGTCATCCTTGCATTATTAGGTCGGACAAGACAGTCTTTTACGAGCGCAATGGCCTCCACCTGCTGATGATCTGTCTTTAGTGAAGTGCACCATTAACCCAGTATCTGAGGGCAGGGTGCCTTCCATTCATTTTGGCTAAAAAAATGTTTTATTAAATTATAGAATAATAAGATATTATAATGATATTTTGTATGTGTAAGTAACAAGAAAAGATTGTGATGTTTGTGTTTGACGCATAAAACCTGCAAATTTAGCTTTGGCAGAGTCACAATGAGCGATTTTCTAATCGCCGCTTCGCGAAGAGTGAAGAGCGAAGAGTGGGTGAGATAAATGACAAAATCGCTTATTGCGACACTCGTGTAGCAAAATTGGCAGGTATTATGTGTTAAACACAAACTTCACACTCTTTTCTTGTTGCTTACACACACAAAATACTACTATAGTATCTTATTATTCCATAATTTAATAAAACATTTTTTTTATCCAAAATGAATGGAAGGCACCCTGTCTGAGGGTAAAGCTTTTAGTTTTTTGAATCTGCTTTGCAAGCTGATTGGTTTTTGTCTCT